TATATATATATATATATATATATATATACATACATACATACATATACATATATATATTGGTTTATGTATACATATAGATATATAATGGTTTCTGTATTCTTCTAGATGTAGAATTGTTTCTGTATTTGTCATTCAGAATATGAACAATGTAATTGCTTGCAAATTATGTGAACACTTGGAGCAGTTGCTGTTTTTCAATGGTAAACTGTTATACAGAGTTGATGGGATTGCATATTCCTATGTGGCATGGACATAAATTACAAACATGAAATACAGCAGCATAACATTTGTATTTGTGATGGAAAAACAGTGTCTCATTTGTATCAGAATAAGTCTCTTGTCACTGGGAGTGCAGTCCAGTGTTTTATACATATGCATTTATACATATCTGCAAAACATATTATGCACTCCATTGGGAATATTAGGGAGTGTAGTTCAGTTTTCCATACATATATTTATTAACTGTTATTTGTTTCTACTTTTACAGACACATGTATTTTATGGGTGGATTTTACATCAAATTTTCTGTTACTACAATGCTCTTTAACCTATGCAGTCATTTAAAATTTTAACTACCTGCATTTATGTTATCCATGCCATTCACGTTTTACAATGATGAATGCCAAGATTTATTTTGCAAACTGTATTTTCTTGTGAAGATCAGTTATGTTACCTAATGTAACATTAGAGGTACCTGGTTACAGTAAACCGCCGTTGTTATTGCATATTCTTAGTTTACAAAATATGTAGTTTTAGAAAAATATTACAGTTTATAAAAACAGTCTGTAATGGATAGTCATTTACTAAACGCCCACCAAAAATCTGACTCAGCCGAATTAAGAATCTGTTAAATATTAAGTAAGGTCACAGCATTAAAGAGCAGACTGTACTGATGCAGAAAATACTTTTCTTTATTAAATTCATGCTATCTGTGATATCTGTGCTGAGTTATTAAGCTGTAGAAAATCAGGTATTTTAGAGCCTTTGCTTTAAATCTGTCTCCGAGAAAGCTGCAAATAAACTGCATGGAGCAATATAGTGCACTGTGCCTGGCTGCTGCTGATGCTGAAATTATTAAAGAGGAATTTCACTTTAATAAAGGCAGTTTTAGAATAGCTTGATCACATTAATTCAATGTCAGGAAATACATCTCTTATTATAGACTTATTATTGTATACATTTTGCATGTAATTGACATTCACCACCTATCTATAGTAAGGGCAGCTGAAGCCTGTTCCATTAATTTCTGGGAACTCCCAGCAGGCCATAGAGCATTCCCAGAGGCTCAGTGAGATCACCGTGGTATCCCGCAAGTGCACGCTCAGCGTGGCAACCACATTGCACTGTCAGGGGGTAATCAAATCTTGTGATAACAAATATTGGTGCCCAAAGACTCATGGAATATATGACACTGATACCCCTGGAGTCTGCAGACAGTACAGTGTATGTCATTTTTGCCTAGGTGAGAAAGATAGGAGTGGGAGGAAAAAGCAAAAAAAAAAAAGAGTATTAAACCACTAAATATAGTTACAGGATATATAAATAATATTCAAGCAAGATTAAAATGAGGGAGAAGGTCCATTTTAAGTATGGCTGTGTCCAAAGTGAAATTTGTAGCACCTTGTGATATTAGTTCAGGTGTTGGTAGATAGATTAGAAACATATTGGGGTTGATTTTACTAAATGAGCTGCAAACTATACAAAGTGAGCATTCACTGAGTTTAGAAAATAAGGTGAAGTGTGCACATTTAAGGCCTAACTGGATTTTGGCTTGCACATAAATGGATGATTAGAATGAACACGATTTAACCATATTTTGAAGCTCAGTAAACATTCACTTTATTTTTTCTTGCACACAATTGGGTATTCAAAGTCAACATACAGTGCATTCAGAAAGTATTCAGACCCCCTTCACTTTTTTCTATTTTGTTATGTTGCAGCCTGATACTACAATGGTTTCAATTCTCTTTTTCTCATTAATCTACACTCAGTACTCCATAATGACAAAGTGAAAACAGAATTTTAGAAATGTCTGTGAATTTATTAAAAGGAAAAACCGAAATATCAAGTACTTAATAACAAGTACTTAAGTACTCAGACACTTTACTCAGTACTTTGTTGAAGCACCTTTGGCAGCAATTACAGCCTTGAGTCTTTTTGGGTATGATGCGGTAAGCTTTGCACACTTGAGTTGGGAGATTTTCTGCCATTCTTTTTTGCAAAACCTCTCAAGTTCAGTGAGGTTGGAAGGTGACTGTCGCTGGACAGCCATTTTCAGGTCTCTCCAGAGATGTTCAATAGGGTTCAAGTCAGGGCTTTGGCTGGGCCATTTTAGAACATTCACAGAGTTGTCCCAAAGTGCTGTGAAACAGGTTTTCATTGAGTATATCTCTGTACATTGCTCCATTTAGTTTTCCCTCAACTCTGACCAGTCTCCCAGTACCTGCTGCTGAAAAACACCCCCACAGCATGATGCCACCACCATGCTACACTGTTGGGATGGTATTGGTCAGGTGATGAGCAGTGCCTGGTTTCCTCCAGACATAACATTTAGGGGGTTAATTACGTTGAAGGATCCAGACGTAGCTTTGGCTCATCCTTCGGCTCTCTTCGGCCGCCTCTGCCTTTTGGTTCAGTTGAACTGAAGGGCTGCTGTATGGGCTATTCACAATAGCTCGTACAGCAGCCGAAGGCAGCCGAGCAGCTCAGCTGAGCTGAACGCATATGCTTCGGCCCAACTGAGCCGAAGGCACAGCCGAATCGTTAAGAAAGGTCGGCCGAAGCAGACTGATCTCCGTGCAAATGACAGCTGGGCCAATTGTTTTTCTTTTGCCGGCATCTTTGCCGGCGTTTTTAAAAATTATTTTTTCTTTTCTTTTTTTTATTTTCTTTAAGCTATAAAAATTTTTTAATTGTCCTATTTTCTTACATTTGTAAAAATTATTTTTCTACTTTTTTTAAATTCAATTCACTCTTTTTCTATTCTGCTCGGTACACTCGTCTGCCTTCGGCAGCTTTGTGAATAACCCCCTTAGAATTGAGGCCAAACAGTTCATTCTTGGTTTCATCAGTATGAGAGTGCTTCAGGTGCTTATTTGCAAACTCCAAGGGGGCTTTTATGTGTTTTGCAATGAGGAGAGGCATACGTCTAGCCACTCTGCCATAAGGGACAGATCAGTGGAGGGCTGCAGTGAAAGTTGTCCTTTTGGAACTTTGTCACACAGGATCTCTGGAGCTCAGTCAGAGTGACCATCGGGTTCTTGGTCACCTCTCTTACTAAGGCCCTTCACCCCCGATTGCTCAGTTTGGCTGGGCGACCAACTCTTGGAAGAGTCCTGGTTGTGCCGAACTTCTTCCATTTGAGAATTAAGGAGGCCACTGTGCTCTTGGGAACCTTCAGTGCAGCAGACATTTTTGGTTGCCTTCCCCAGATCTGTGCCTTACAATAATCCTGTCTCTGAGTCCTGCAGGTAGTTCCTATGACCTCCTGGCTTTTGCTCTTATACAGTATGCATCGTCAGCGGTGAGGCCTTCTATAGAGAAGTGTGCCTTTCCAAATCATGTCCAATTAATTTATTTTACCACAGATGGACTCCAATCAAGGTGTAGAAATAATCTCAGAAACGATCAAGAGAAATTGGAGGCACCTGAGCTAAATTTTAAGTGTTGTTGTAAAGGGTCTAAATACTTATGCCGATGTGATATTTCAGTTTTTTTCCTTTTTAGACATATGCAAACATTTATAAAAGTCTGTTTTCACTTTTTCATTATAGTGTAGATTAATGAGAAAAAAAAGAATTGAAACAACTGTAGTATCAGGCTGCAACATAACCAAATTTAAAAAAGTGTAGGGGTCTGAATACTTTCTGAATGCACTGTAGGTTCTCCTTATTAACTAGTATATATAATAAATATTTCCCGGTGGGTTAAAGTACCACATTCAAAATTATATTGAATTTCAAAAACAAATAAACATCCAGGACTGCAATGGTACCACACAAATACTTTTAAACTTTCAGTTGATTTTATTGTACACCCTTAAAACATATCTTTAAAACTACCATTCATATTTCTGTGATATATATCCATATCCTACATGCAACTCTATGAGGGCTACTCTCATTCTAACACCGGACCAGCTATAGAATCAAAGGCATAATCAGAATTGTTGTTATAGATATAACAAACAGAATTGGATATTGTTTTACAATGAGTGTTGGAGCTTCTATTGAGATGTGAATGATTCAACACGTTTCACAGGACAAGCCAGCTTCATCAGAAGACCCTCAGGATGTTTTGTAATCATATCTACAAGTAATCACAATAAGAATGATGTAAGCATGAGCATATCTTAATATATTGTATATATCCCATTTTTGCATCTTCACATTATTACACACACACACACACACATACATATATGTGTGTGTGTTACAAACTGATCATAAAGGACACTAAATATGACCATAGACCCTCATTCAGGTGGATGCAGGGAGCTTAGGAGAAGCCAAAGGTCCCCCACCAGCATGTAGTGCCCCTAGGGGTATATTATATCATATTTAAAGAAGTTAGTTACCATTAAGCCAAAAATGTCCATGCTACAGAGATAGAATTCCCTTATATCTGACATCAGAAAAAGGGTAGAAAGTATTTCTGGCTATAATCACTTCCATATTAGACAGATATCTTCAGTTCCTAAAATGCTTCTTGACATTAATTCCAAGTTCACAATTTTCAGTCCTGTTTATTTAGTAGTATTCACTTAGTTAATATGCATATTGCTATGTGGACAGTCTCTACTTCATTAGTAAATCACCCCAAACAGTTTTGTCTAATATGTTAACTGTTGCCTGAACCAAGTAATATTTTTATTTATTTAATGATAGATTCTCCATGGGGGAAAGTTTGAAAAAAGCGTTTAGCCAAATGGCTGTTTCAGATTAGTGAACCTTCAGTTCATTATTATTCCTTGCTGTGAAGAATCTGAATGCTGTAACAACTGTTGCATCATTAGAAAGCTCTTTATATTCTTGAAAAAAATCTACATTTAATAAAAGTATACATTTGTTTAGGCAAAATATACATTTAAATCATGGGGATAGTTCAAGCAGGTATTAAAATACATAATCTTGGCTAATGTGTGTTCGCTTCTACTTCTGAAAGTGAACCTATGTTCTAAAACATATAAACTAAAAATACTGGTAACGTGTGGGCAAGTGCTTATGCTCAGATAAGATTCTGTGGGAAGGACCTTGTATCCTAGGTTTAGGCTGTACATAGGGCTTCCACTTTTGCACATATTCAAGTTGATGCTCAGTCCAGCTCAGATGGTGGACTGTTAAATGGTATGGGTGAAGAGTTGGGGGATGTGCCATGTTGAACAAAGGTTGAGAAACTGTATATAGCTTAGGCCTAAAAACCATGACCTTCTCAGACACACAGTAATTGATATAAAGGTAAACGTAGGTACGTGCAAGCACCTCAGTGTGCTTGCATTTACCTCAATGTACCTGCATTTACCTCAGTGTGCCTTCATTTACCTCTGCGTGGCTCCATTTATCTCAGTGTGCCTCCATTTACCTTTGTTCGCCTCCATTTACCTCAGTGTGTCTCTATTTATCTCAGTGTGCCTGCATTTGCTTCAGGGCGCTCAGTTTACTTTAATATGCTTGTATTAATTCCAGCATGCTTGCATTTGTCTCATTGTGTTTGAATTTACCTCAGTGTGCCTATGTTTACCTCATTGTGCCATTCATTTGCCTTAGAGTGCCTCCATTTGCCTAAGTGTGCCTGCATTTATCTCATTTTGCCTGCATTTATCTCAGTATGTATCCACTTTTATCTCGGTATGCCCGCATGTACCTCAGTGTGCTTGCATTTATTTCCTTATGCCTGCAGTTATCCCAGTGTGCCTGTGTTTACCTTAGTGTACTAAGTGCAATTGATCAGTTTATTTAGAGAAAAAGTTTCCCCCAAAAAAACAGAATGTTTATATGAAATAGTCCATTAATAAATAAACTACCATAGTTGTGTTAAATTTGTGTCTTTGTAAATATTACAGTGACATTTTAAATATAGTCACTAGTCACTACATGTACAACCAAATACTGATATGCAGCCCCCAGACTAAGCACAATGCCAATAGTTGCTGACTTAAGGATAGGTTGCAACCTTTCTGGAAAATCAATTTTACTGTCAGTGAAATTTAAAAAAAGTTTGCTCAGTTGACTCCAATGTGTTTCTCTAAACACGTTTCCCAAGCTCAATTTCTTATCCATACAGGGATGAGAAAAACTGAGAATTTCCTTTTGGAAAAATTATGGAGAAATACATTGGAATAAATTGGAGGCTTTCCTGACTATGCATCTTTAAGGCTACTTAAGTATAAAACATCTTCTTCTACATGGGAGCTTTGCGTTAAAGCATAAGTTCCCTTTCCCAAGTGAATTTGGTCAAATGGAATTACCCTCTCCAATCTGGTCCCCTCCCCCTATACTTACCATTCATTCCTTCCCCTCCGCCAGTACGAGTTTACTATCCATACCCTGTACTGCTGTGTAGCACAGCCCTGCGCTATGGATTTTGCATTTTGCTCACATTCTCAGCTTCTCTTTGGTTAGTGTGGTCAGAAGTGCATCTAATTCAATTTCCCCCAATTCACTTGGAAAAGTGAACTTACCCTTTCATTTTTTTTCTTAAACAGGGTCATTAGACAGACATTGTCTTTAAAGAGAAAAGCCAATATACCTTTGTAAAAAAAAAAAAAAAAAATAACAACAACAACTGATTGAAGCTGCCATAATCTGACACTAAGGGATCATAGAGAATAAAAGCAAGTGTATCTCCCAGGATTATTAGCAGCTTTTACCTGAGGCTTTTCACGCAGACATCTAGCGTTTTGACAGATTCTGTCTAAATGAAAAGTCATAAAAACTCTGATCTTCCAGTCCTGGTTAGATTAATAAAGTAAAAATGATTCCACATTGTTTGAATCTACTCAATATCACATGTGACACATTTTCTTAAATGATAGGAAATTGTGTTTAAATGATGTTGATGCAACGCTGGAAGTTAATACATATTCTTAGGGAATATATCAAGCAGACATTGCCAAATTAACTTTCTTGGATAAATGGTTTGTTATGTAAATTGTTTCTGTATTATTAAATGACTGTATCCTTTTTCACAGTTACGTCTACCACAGTTCAAAATGGATGGTTGCTGGCAACGCAGACTCTCCAGTACCCCCACGTGTTTATATCCATCCAGACTCCCCAGCTTCTGGCGAGACTTGGATGAGACAAGTCATTAGTTTTGACAAATTGAAACTAACGAATAACGAGCTGGATGACCAAGGTCATGTAAGTATTTGCAATACCAAAATATCCTTACCTAATGGAATGCGTATTTGTGTCATTCTATTCTCCACCTTCTTCTATTTCAAGGCTTTGTTCATGCTTGTGAAGTTTATCTCAGTTCATGTACTGCACCATGGGCATATGAGAACTGGATTCAGTGGCTCATTTAAGATCTAGGCAGTTGTACTTTAACTCTTAGATTCCTACATTCAGCTTTTCGAGTAAACTTTATGTGCAGTGCCATGACAATACACCTGCATACAAAATGCACTTTGAAAACCACAAGTCAGATGTGAAGGAGTCTTAAAGTGTTAGTCCACCCTGAGCTTATATCTAAGGCTTAGGCAAATTCTGGTGGGCTCTTATGTCAAAGGTGGTATGTTTATTACCTCATGGGATGGTATGGCAGGTATTACCTAGTGGTTTCTTATGTATGTTTTTGGTTCCAGTAGCAAGACTTTTGCATCTGGGTTTTCCAGCCCACACATCAGCCTTGACAGTTATCTATGGAGGTTTACTTTCCTTGCTAAAATCCCCATTATTTTTCATTAGAGAGCGTGTACTAGAGGCATTGAGAATCTTAAAGTAGCATGAGAGAAATGGGAACTTGGATGCAGAAATCTCACTGCTGGAATCCTAAGAGATAGAGTAAGCCAGTCTGGAGTGAACTGATCCCTTAACGGTGTTATTCAGTAGAGAAACTACTGAACATGTGAAATAAATAAATATTTGCAGAATAGACTAATACGACTTTTTAGCATAGAAAGACATATTGTAAGACTTTGGAATTAATAAAAAATAGGAAAATATTCATAAACTTCTAAATGCTTATGGGGCTTTGCAAATTAATACAAGATGTATTTAGTAAATTTGCCAATGAGAGAACCAATTGACATCTGCTAGCAATCCAAGATGAGGCATTGTAGTTTCATAGTTTTCCTTGAAATTATTATCTCTTTAAATATTGCCTAGATACAGCCATGTCCTGCAGGAGTAAAAGATGGTCATGGAAACAAATGAGCTAATTTTAGTGCAGTCTAGTAATTTTCTAAAGGAGAAGAATATTACACTTGTTTAACTGTGCTCACTTCTATTATCCATCCATTACCGTGGGAAATTCCTATTTTTGTATCTCCACTGCTTATGATTGGTTAATAGATGCAAACTCAGGTTAACAAGCTTTCTACTATTTTAGTAAATCAATCCCAGTTAGTGTGTTTGCGATCTGCTAGTTCAAGCATCGTGGCTTCTCAGCTATATTTACTTAGTTTATATAACAGATGTAAATTTAGCTAAAATTAGTATTTTTTTTCTTTGACCATATGACTTACTACTATAAACTATTCATATCACATATATATTTGAACTTTAAAAATGAATGCCAAGAAACTGTTTGAATAAATATATAAATACAGGGCAGTTACATGCTTTCAAAATGTCTATCTGCCATCTTTTTAGATGTAGGTTAAAAGCCCTTTCTGTTCTTTACCTCACCACTGATTTACTTTACTGGTCATTTTCACCTTGTGCTCACTTCAAATCATAGGAAATTGCTGTTTTTTTTTTAACTTATTAGGCATATCACGTTAACAAAGGACATTGAAAAAAACAGTTTTTAAAGAGTGCCTTAAAGAGAAACTTTGGACAATAAGTGAATCAGTCAGTAAACTGACAGTGTTATCCAGAACACTGCAATTGTCCAGAAGTCAAAAGTTCTTACCAGTTTAGCTTAATCTGTGTTCTGTGTCAACAAAAACAGTGAAAGTTCAGGAAGATCCCATGTGTGTTTCTTGGCTGGACTGCATCTAATAGAAATAAATAGGGACAGGCAAGCATACTTATATTGACTCCCCTGAAGCAAATGTCTTTATTTTATTACTGAAATCATATCACCATAGAAGGAATGACTACACTTTTTCCTAGTTAATGACTTTACCATTACAAATATCTCAACAATAGGGGTAGAATGTATTTTTTAATAATAGGAAAACATCATTCTTTGAAATGGGGATGTGAAATTTTAAGTCCAGCTAGGATTCTCTTGAGCCAGTTTGTTTGTCAAAGCTTCTTTAATATAATACTGGCTTGTTAGGCATTTCCTATCTTATAGGGCTTCTCTTAAAATGTATCAGCTAATCTACCTGGGCCCACTGCTACATGCTAAGATTGTTGAGCTTATGCTTTTGTTCTTATTTATCTAGGCAGAAGGTGTAGGGATCCGAGTCACAACCTATGTTAAACTGTAGCTTTCACTTGAAGCCCTCAGCACCATACTTAGAGGCTCATAGCTAACTGTAAACTCAATCACATCCAGTTACTCATTTGCTCTAAATGGAGTTGACTGAGTCACAATATGTGCTGCAAACAAGGAGCACTCTAAGCCAAGCAGATTTTTTGTTGTTAGTCTAGCACTGGAAGCTGGTGACAGGCAGTGAGAGCAAACTGGTTACCCCATCAATGTGCTCCTTTTAACTCCTCATCCAGTCATAAGCTAGAGGCAAGCTACGACGTTTGGCTATTCACTCCGGCTCCGTACAGCTGATTTCAGCCATACATCGGCTGAAATCAGCTGTACATCGGATCTGTATGGCTACCTTCGGTCAACCAAACATGCTCTACATGTTCGGCTGAGCCAAAGTGCAGGAGTTCGACTTAGCCGACTTATTTTGATCGGCTGAGCCGAAGCTCCGACAGTCCTCTTGCTGCTGTTCTCCACATTCTCATAGGGGCCGAACGGCAGTGAGTGAATAGCCAAATTCTGCCGAGTGGCATTCGGCTCAGCTATTCTGCTCTCTACCTCTGAAGTAGCGAGCAGAATAGAAAAAAAGTAAACAAATAAATATTTAAAAAAATGATTTAAATAAATGTTAAAAAAAGAAAAATGTATAAAAAAGTTAAGAAAATAATTATAAAAATGCTAAAGAAAAAAAAAAAACACAGCGCGGGGTCCCCCTCCCAAACCATACCAGACCCTTTAGGTCTGGTAGGAAAGTTAGGAGGGACCCCATTTAAAAAGAAAAAAAATGCGTGGGGTTCCCCCAAAAGTCATACCAGACCCAGTGTCCTCCAGGACACTGGGCTGTCATTGAGGAGCAACAAGTGGGCGTAGCCAGCCGTGACATTACGGCTGGCTTTGCCAACCTTTTTCCCTGCTTCGGGTGGCACTACGTCTCAGCCGAGCTGAAGCATACGCTTCCGGCGCGGCTGAGCCGCTCGGCTGGCCAGTACGGACTATTGTGAAGGGCTCAGGCTGCCGAAGCGAGCCAATGCAGCAGCCGAAGCTATGGCTGGATCCTTCGGCTCTTTTGTGAATATCCTTCTTTGCTGTGATCTTTGAGGAAGAATAGCGGCACATTAAAAGCATCTGGAGAGGTCAGAAATGACTTCTTTGAAAACTCTTTTAAGTTGATGCACATATTTTTTATAGTGCTATACGAATATGTTACTTAGAAAAAGAGAATGATTACTATGATGGTTTGGGGGTCACTTTTTTCAAAACATTTTTAATAAGTACTTTCTATTTGCGCTTATCTTTTTTTGTTTAACTGACACTTGACTGAATGAAAGTAAATATATATTTAGATATTTCAAAGCAATGGTACTTCAAAGCTGCAAAAGGGGACACATTTTTTGGAATAGTGCATTGAGAACCAATGCTTTTTTCTGACAATTATAATAAAGACAACCTCAAATAGTGGGCGAAACATGCACAGATTAGATTGTGGGTGAGAATTACATGGGGTTCTCTAGATGCAGGCTGTAAGAATGGAAATATTGTTTATATTGGCCTCAAATTATACTTTGGTAAAATACTATTTTTAAAGGATTTGTAGAGGGATTGTGCTATAATGTAAGGGAAGAAATATTTTTACAAGCTAGAAGAGAGTGTGTGTATTTGCATGTGTGTGGGTTCTTAGTGGGTCATTTGGGGTTTCCATTCGCCTATTTTTTTAGAATAGTATAAGATTTTAGAAATAAAACAGTTAATATGGGAACTTGTTTTTTCCAAAATGCAGATTTACTTTGATCCGAATTCAAGTACTTGGCACCGATAGCAGATTTCTTATGGCTGCAAATGGTGCTGAACTACAAATACATGTTAACACCACCAAGATCGTATAAAAAAATGGTCTTCTGTGTATATTAATAGTATGCTAAGCATATAATATAAGCAGATAGACTCAATGTTTTAGGCTGGGCCCCCATTTATTAGTGTGATCCAATTCAAGATTGCCATTATCCAAACTCAGGTTTAACAGTAACAAGGTGAAGGTCCTTCATATTTAAAGATCCACTCAATGTAAAACGTTTTCCTATTTTAAATAGACTGAAAACAGGTTAGATCCACTCAGATTTCTATAGCTGTGTGTGTCTACTCTGGGTGGGGTATAGAAGAGTCACCGGCACACCTACTGTGAAATACCTTCCTCCTATATTGATGCAATTCAATCATATCGCAAAGCAAACAATTCCGGTCACAAAGGGTCCCATCATCAGGAAAACAATGTGATATTGAGTTAAGAACAGACATAAATTGGTGGGGTCCCCCTTACTATCTTTTCCAGTGACTTCCTATCACACCCTGCACACAGGTGGCCCTGTGGAGGGATGTGAGGTTCCCCTTCTTCCCAATTAAGTGTCTGGAAGACTGGAAGTAATATAAATAATTCCCCACACAGAAACACAAACAGCAAGAAAAAAAAATTATCAGACCCCCTAACCCTTTCCTATTCTGTTCAAAACTAAAATACATTTTATCCAGAGCTGTGCTTTAAAATCTAGGGGGTGATAATAATTGGGAGCATGACTAAACCACTGCTTGCTTTAATTTGCAACAAGAATTATCTTACCTTGTTTTTATACATTATGTTTCAATAATATTTAGTTTTAGAGACTTTATTTAATTTTTAGGTGTTCTTACACTATGGATAGTAAACATTTGAGTTTGTATTAGGACTAAATATACTGCTCAACCTACCATGTATTTAACCACAACTAATCATATGTCCTGTGGGTAATGTTCTTTGACAAAACCACTAAAGAAAGTGACCTCTTAGGTGATCTTAAGTCTGAAGTTAATGACTTGGAATATAGGTTTGACCGAAGCTGACCTTCATCAAGCTTTATTAAACTTCACATTTGTAATCCACAAATGGCTTGATTTAGAATAAATGCTATCCCTTCACACATCTAGTTATCACTTCACCCGGGTGTTGTCTATGGATAGCAGCAGTGGCGGAACTACCGCCATAGCGACCCATGCGGGCGCTATGGGGCCCGCGACAGAAGGGGCCCGGTGAGGAGCAGGTCTTACAATCCTCCCGGGTCCCGGCATAGATGCACACGCTATACTTTTATCCCAGGGAACTGGAGTGGACGAGCTGATGGGGTGTAACAATCAGTCTCCAAAACCCCGGGCATGGTAGGCGGAGACAGCCGAATGGGTGGGGTTTCACTGCTTTTCTGCTGCCTTCTCTGGATTGGTTAAGAAGAGGAGTGGGTGTGGTTTGGAGGTGAGATCGTGGCGGACGGAAATCGAGGACACAGAGGAGATCGAGGAGGGGACAGAGGTAGGGAGACATCTGCAGTCAGCTGGTCAGGTCATGGGGCTTGAAGTTCAAGCATTGTGCTGGCCCTTTTGCTGTATGGTGCGGTGATACTGTGGGGGGGGCTGCGGTGCCATTGACTTCAATGCATCGCCACACCCCCCAGAACGCAGGGGAGAGTTTTCTGAGTGATTGTGGTGCGTTCCAGCAGCTACCGCTCTGGAACGCACCGCAATTGGTATGAAAAAGCCCTAAGGGGCACAATCGTGCAGTCCCGGGATCGCCCATATCTGAACCTATTCTCAGTTTTTGTGATTTACTCATACACACTGCACTTTACTGTGAGTTGTTTTGCCTTTTAGGGCCCAAGAAAATGCTTGCTCAGGTTCCAATGTGAGGTCCGGTTTTAGCTCCCCCCCATTATTGGAGGAGCCATGGCACATTACATTTGCATATAGATTCAGCTGCCGTAAGGTGCCATTCTTGCTGGGGACCTCACAGCAGCCTTTCAGGGAACCACAGTGGCATCTGTTTACAGTGCTGGCCCACATATCCCCCCTGCTGTGATCCTCCACATCTGTGCCTGCTGAGACCCTCCACATCTGCCCTGATGAGACCCTCTGGGCCTGTCCTTCGCTCCTCCACACCTGCCCTGCTGAGACTCTCCGCATCTGCCAATGGTGGGACCCTCCGCACCTGCCCCTGTTGAGACCCTCCACATCCGCCACTGGTGAGACCCTCCACATATGTCACTGGTGAGACCCTCCACATCTGCCACTGGTGAGACCCTCCGCATATTCCACTGGTTAGGCCCTCCCCATCTGCCTGAGACGCTCCACATCAGGGGCCTAGCCTCCTTGTGGGGTGGCCTGCTGCAGCTACCTGCTGGACCACAGTTTGATGGGGATCGGACTGCCCGTGATGGCCAATCCCAGAGATGTCATTGTGTATGTGTCATTCTAACCGGCTAGTCTGCCGTGCATTGGTTCTGGTCTGAAGTCTGCCGTGCATTGGTTCTGGCCTGAGGTCTGCCGTGCATTGGTTCTGGTCTGAGGTCTGCCGTATATTGGCTCTGGTCTGAGGACTGCCATGCATTTGTTCTGTTCTGAGGTCTGCCATGCATTTGTTCTGTTCTGAGGTCTGCCATGCATTGGTTCTGGTCTGCTGTCTGCCATGCATTGGTTCTGGTCTGAGGTCTGCCGTGCATTGGTTCTGGTCTGCGGTCTGCCGTACATTGGTTCTGGTCTGAAGTCTGCTGTGCATTCTGTCAATTAGCTCACTTTCCAAACCACCAATATTGGTCTAGATTTTTAAATTCTCCTACCTATTCCCCCTGCAATTCACCTTTTAGTGAATAGACCTGCTATTTTGAAAATAATGGGAGAATTAATCTCTGTAACACAAAAATATTAATGCGGGTGAGGCTTGTGGATGGTTGGGGCTTGTATATGTGTGGAGCACAACGAGGGCCCCATAATCTCGTATTGCCCGGGGGCCCCATGTCTTGTCAGTCCGCCCATGGTCTACTGTAAAGAATTTCTCCACAGTTGAAGATACAATATCTATGGATCTATTCTCCATGTATAGAAGCACCCATGGAAGCACCTATCTATGGAATCACCTATGGCTTTCACACAGGCTGGACTTCAAACATGTCTGCCTTTGTTCATCTCTATTACATGGGGGGTTGATAGAATTAGTAAATTATAATAGAAAACTGTAATGATGAAGAGAAACTGTGCAGGACACTGAAAAAAGGGGACCCTTATGTCTACCATTACATTTTATGTAATAAACTGGAGAGCAGAGGGGATGGTCATTTTTAAATGGTGTCTGCTTTTTTAATTTATTTATTTTGTACACTTTTACTTTTACTCTTTCACTATAAAGTTAATGCATAAGGCATGGAACCCTTTTACTGGTTTTTAGGGGCGTGCTTAGCCACTACAAAAAGTAAATTTAAGAGATTTAGAGGTACAACATTTTTTAACCCTTTACCATTTTTTAATTGTTTGAGCTTATTATAAGCAAAGAAAAAACAAAAAAATACTCAATAAACTATTCTCTTATATTGACATGTAACTGCAAACTGAACCATTTACTCATTTAAAAATGCTTTTTCTTTTTTCTTCTATTAATGATTATGTGTTTTACATTTGAAATGTCATTTAACTGATTATATTCTGTCACTGTAACCATGTAAGTTTTGAAACTTTCGCCTAATTGGAAACAAGTGACTATTTTCCCTATTACTGAAAGCAAGAGCGCATATTGTTCCTATGAAAAGCTAGGATACATCGGCAGCTACATCAATAGGATTTGGGAATGGTCAAAGTACCATTTCCATCACAGTTTGTTCTTGATTATTCATGCCTTCCACCACGATTTTGAAGTCGTCAGCATTAAAATAAGTTAGTATTAGCTTTTGAAGTTGCAGGATGAAAACCAAACCACAATTTCAAACGCACTCTTGATGGCTATTCAACTGTGAATAATTAGGATCAGAATAGTATTCAGAACTGAGAACTAAATTCTATTATGGGCTAAAATAGGCAGTTAATTTATATCTAATGATTAACTTTTGGTCACCTCTTTACATTAATATATATGGTCTCTGTAGGAAAAAATTGTTCTTATAAGGGAAAAGGATAATTGAAATGTTCCACAGTAAATGACAAACTAATGCAATTTTCCACAGATTATTCTTCATTCAATGCACAAATATCAGCCACGTGTCCATGTGATCCGAAAAGACTGTGGGGATGAACTGTCTCCAGTAAAACCAATTCCAGCAGGAGAAGGCGAGAAGGCATTCACATTCCCAGAAACGATATTTACTACAGTTACAGCATACCAGAATCAACAGGTACTCTTTTTAAGTTTTCTTTACTAGCATAGGCACTACTGTATAATGAAAATGAAATGATCCTATCGTTTGAAAGAAAAACCAAACCTTGTAATATTAATATTATGAATGAACAAATAACAAACACTGTTCACACCATCTCCAGACTGATGGGTTTTGTAAAAATCTGCACCAAAAACACATACACAGTAATTCCAGTGGTTTTTAATGTGGCTACTTTACATCATTGCATTCATTTTCAGACCTTTCAAAAAAAAAGTACAGCAGCATGCTGTTTTTTCACACCGGAACACATAAAAACGTATGTGAACACATGTAAATGCACATGCTTAAACTTAATGCAAAACCAATGAAAAAAATGCACTGGAACGCATAAAAAAACGTGTAAAAAGTGCACATGTGGAAAGACATCCGGAACATGCAGGTTATGGTGTGAGGTTGATAATTTGCAAGTTATGGTTCTTAGGAAATTGCAGCAAACTTGCTAGGCTAGTAAATCTTAAATCAGATTATAAGGCTATTTTTTGTTTTAGTTTGTGTGTTACAATAATGTGTAAGAATTTTGAAAACAAATAAATGAAGGTTTAGAGATATATACAGCAGATGATCTAGAAGTTATGGCAATAGGAACACATTTATAAACCTAAAAACAATCAAATTATCCTTTTATTGTAATATTTAAAAATATTTTTAATTTATTTTGTTCTGTTTTAAAATCCATGTTCACCTTTTCTGTGGGACAAAAGAGCTGTACACTTGGAAAAGGCAGTTACAACCACTGGGATGAATTTGTGTCTGTCTGTAATGTTCACTTATAGTAAATGAGAGTAGGGCATTCCTGCAGGATTGCCTGATATTGACTTTATGACATTATGAGATGGTGTAATTTTGTTCAGTGTTATTATGATGAGATAATGTATTGGACAGTATCATTCGTCATAGGTGATTTCATACTGTTTTCGCATTCACTAGGACAATGTTTATTCTAGGACAATAACTATTGAATTATGAACTATTTTAACTCTCACTGTGTCAGGGCGGACTTATTTCAATATTTGGTGAGTCTCTAACCTGGTAGTATAATGTGCATGTCAGGTGCAGGGACATCTGATATGTTCATGCTTCCTACAGGTTGGTGACTCAAATAATTATTAGATAAAAAGGATAAGAATGAGAGGTGCAGAGCATGCACATATAGAACAAGCCAGCAACAGACGCTCTTATTTTTTTGTCCTGAAAAGTTCTCTTAAGGATGCGGAGGCTCCTTGTTACTCACTCATAATCTGTAATTCTTTGGTCAAATATTAGTCATTAGTTGCCTACTGATCATCAGTAGTCATTTGTCAGTTGTCACTTTTTTTAATCAAGTCACTGTTCTAATACACAGGGGTCTATTCACAAAGCTGCCGAAGGATCTGGCCGTAGCTTCGGCCGATCCTTCGGCTAGCTTCGGCACCAGGACCCCTTCGGTTCAGGAGAACCGAGGGGGTGCTGTACGGGCTATTCACAAAAGCCCGTACAGCCCGCGAAAGCAGCCGAACCATTAGCCGAACCCAACGACCGAGACATCAGCCGAGCATTCCGGATCTGATACTGAGATATGGAATATTCTAAAATAGAAACTATTATACAAAACAATAGATGTATTCAGTGCAAAAACATGTTTTTGTATCAATTAAGAAAACATTAGTTGTAAATAACTTTTTTGACAATGGTATTTAAGAAATATAAAAAAAAGGGGGCATTTTATATTATCAGTTTAGAAGGAAAGGCAAAATGAAACCAATATCCCCATAGCAACTTCAAATTCTGCTCAGTGTCTTTTTTATGAAAACCTTTAATAACCACTAAATAAATACTTTCATTTAATATATGTATGTGCAATCACATGACTGCAAACCCTCTGAGCTATGTCCCGTCCTTTGTGAGCAGCAGGCGGAGACATTACAAATGAGGTACATCAAGGCAGGGGGTGACATGCAACCAGCTTGTACTACAAGCTAAAGTGAGGGAGCCAAACTCTGATTGGCTAGTGCAATTAAAGTATTCAAGGGGTAATTTGCAGTCTCCTTAGCAGCAAGACACTTTCTTCACAGTCATTTTCCTGATTGCCATAGTGACAGTGGTCTTCCAAGTATTCAGGATGCAAATTAGCTACGTCCACTTCTCCCACCAGTCCCTGACAGTGCTCCTGTTGAGAGCTTGTCGGCTTGCATGATGAAGGCACCCTGTAACACCATGAAGAACTAATAACTTTCGCACCACCAAGTTCCTGTTGGTGGAGAAATAAAGGATTGTGGCGCTCTAAAATAATTGTCAGCTTCTATTTAATTATAATCAATAAGGCAATCCAGGAAAAATAACAGGAGAGCTTCTCATCTGTGTTTTCATGCAACCATGCAATTAGTCATAGAGTTGATACTTTATGACTAGGCACAAGGTGGCATGACATCCATGAGAAGCTCCCCTGTTTTCTTTCCTGGAATGCTTTAATGATAATAATAAATAGAAGACAACTTATTTTTAGAGCGCCGCTATCCTTTATTTCTGCTCTATTGACACAATCTGGGCTGCCAACCATTCGGCGAGTGTTTGTGGACCAACCATGAGCAGCACTGCATTTTGAACTCTACCTGCTAGAGGAGTGGAAGGAGGCCAGCTTCATATCCTTCTACCAAAGCATTCCCTGACCAGGAAGAAATGCCATGAGGCCAAGCAGCTGACAATGGAGTGAGTTCCAGGTATGGTGCAGTCAGGCAGACTCTATCAACAAGCTAGACGAGAGGCTGTTTGAGAGGGAGGGTGACAGTGAATGTGCATGAGGAATATCTAATGAGGTGGGGGGCTTCCAGATGCAGATAATGCTGGAGGATAATTCATTTGAATAAGGGCTACATATCATTGTTGGCCTGGCACCAGAACTTCATTGCTAAACAGGAAATGAACAGGATCAACAGGTAATTGCTGTATGATAAGAAAGCAATTAAAATATGAACATATTATGATTGTATAACTATTATGAAAAACTATTGACAGAGATTTTCGTTTTTGCCTGAAGAAACATTTTAAGATAATAAAAATACATGTTTTATTGCTATCATTTTTGTAACATATGTTAATTAAGTTTCTGTACATTTTTCCAGATAACACGATTGAAGATTGACAGGAATCCTTTTGCAAAGGGATTTAGAGATTCTGGGCGAAACAGGTTAGTGCTAGCTGTTCTAAATTACTCTAAGGTAACATTTTGACTGAGCATCTTTCTTTGTAAAATTAACAAAGTACCGAGTACATTTCATGCAGGGATACTGTAATCTGTTCTAAAAATGTGTTTTAATGCATAGTTTACATGTTACATTTTATATATACAGGAACAGTCATTTTTGCCTACTTTGTACTGTTTCTTAATCTTAATGTCATGCCAACCGTTTAGGTCTGATTACTGAAAACAATGCACTCGGGTTGATTTACTACAACTAGTAAACGTTGTTCACTTTGCACAAATAAGGTTGGTAAATAAGGTGAACCTGTATTCACTTTGAATACCCAATCATGTCCTAGGGAAATAAAAAATTATATTTGCCAGCACATGATTTGGTATGCAAAGTAAACAGAGGTTCATGTACTAATATTCCATTAGCAAATCAATCCCACTCTCTAAAAGCAAGATTTTGTTTCAGCAGTTGTTGGCCATAGAGATTTAGGGGTATATTTATAAAGCATTAAATGTTTATTTATAATGTTATATATAAAGCAGTGAATGTACTGCAGGTGTATATTTCTGGTTCATGAGTTTTAAACCAGAGTAATTAAATCAACGGCAGTAAATGTTTGGTGAATATCACATTCACTGATTCATAAAATATACCCCTAAGAGATTGCTTTGAAATGGCATAAAACAAAACTTTAAGGTAAACAGTAAACAAAAATGTAAAGGGTTATTCATACACTATATGTTTCTTTTAAAGCAGGCCTATACATTCTAGTACTATTAATAGTATGAAAAGTAAGGCATTTGCTTTCTTTTAGAATGCTTACAATTTTTCATTCTTCAATGATGGTCATGTGAATGAATGATGTGCTAGTCAGAGCTAGGGAATTGGTGAATCTGCTTGAATAATGATCATATGCCTTGTGACCAAAATGCTCTGGCATTTGTTTGTGTGACAGACTTGGGGTGGAAGTTAGAATAATTACAAAGAATACCAGAGAAAGAAGTCTTTGACATTTTCTTTCACTTTTTGTTAAATCACAGAAGACAAGGATTAAAGTCATGGAGATTACCGATCTACTTTAATAGGCATTGTTTTCAAATACACAAATCTAGTCAATATTCAACAGATCTTTAAGGTCATATTAGAGAAAATTTGGCCCAACCTTCTGCATGTTTAAAGTGCCTAAAATGGACAGGTTTTAAGAAGATAAGACAATTGTAATCTTTATCTAGTATGGAAAATCTAAATATATGGAGACTGCTGGTGATTGACTTTTTGATTGTCCTTGCATAATCTGTATTCAAGGATTTGTAGTTTTGAAACGTTGACCAAATCTAATGAGGCTGTCCAAACTTTCTATGTGCCCTTTAATATGATCAGCAATCTGTCTGTACTCACACTCACCGTTCAAATAATTAGCACCAAAATAATCTTACTAGCGATCACATTCCATCTCTTTTCGTAAACAATGAACATTATACAGTTCCAGTGGGATTACTCAATGAACCGAGAGCAAAACACAAAATACAAACTGCACTTCCCATAAAAACAATGAAAATCTTGTAATAGCATGGGTTGCCGGCCTTTTCTTCTTAAAAAATATTTGAATACTAATGACTGAAATATTTAGTATTATTTTACCTCTTCTCTTGGTTTCTACCTTTGAACAAAGCCAACGTTTACTGGATTTGGGTAAAACTCTTAGGGGTCTATTCACTAAGCAGCCGAAGGATCTAGCCGAAGCTTCGGCCGATCCTTCGGCTAGCTTCGGCCCCAGGACCCCTTCGGTTCAGTAGAACCGAAGGGCTGCTGTATGGGCTATTAACAATAGCCCATACAGCTCCCGAACTTGGCCGAGCGGCTCAGTCGAGCCGAAGGCATATGCTTTGGCTCCGCTGAGCTGCGCTGAAAGCCGAAGCTGGCCGAGCGGCCGGCCATTGGCCGGCCGACAGCTTGCTTCTGACAGCTGGGCGGAGCCAGCCGTGATCTTACAGCTGGCTCTGGCCACTTGCAGAGAGATCAGCGTCTCTGGTTACCAGCTAACCAGGGACACTGATCTCCAGACAGCCTAACTCTCCCGGGCGCTCCGGGAGTCTCCCGATCCTGGCTGCCAAAGAGAGAAACACTGCTTTCCTTTTTTTTCTATTCTGACACGGCTTTGTGTCAGAATAGAAAAAAAAAAATTTCACCATAGGAATGCATTGCTAGATTCTTATTGGCTATTTCAATTTTCAATAGCAAACTAGCTATTGTACCCGCCCTCTGCTGCAGTTCTCCATCAGGTCCCCACTAGTGATTGACAGCAGCAGAGGGTGGGTACAATAGCTAGTTTGCTATTGGCTATTGTAAATTGAAATAGCCAATAGGAATCTAGCAATGCATTCCTATGGCCAAATTTTTTTTCTATTTTTTGACGGCAACAGAACCGTCTGCCAATAGAAAACTGTTGGGCGGAGCTAGCTCTCATTGCTAGCTCCGCACAATCGTTTTCTATTTTTATTTTTCTACTTTTTTAACTATTTTTCTGTTCTGCTCGGTCCCACAGAGGGAGTGAGCAGAACAGCCGAGCCGAATGCCGCTCAGCGGCATTTGGCTATTCACTCACTGCTGTTCGGCATCTATAAGAATAGACCGAACAGCAGCGAGTAGCCTGCCGGAGATTCGGCTTAGCCAATCCAGATGTTGGATCGGCTGAGTCGAACTCTTTCTGCACTTCGGGTCAGCCGAACATGAAGCCACGCGAAGCCACCCAATGTACGGCTGATTTCAACCGATATACGGCTGAAATCAGCCGTACCAGCCTGAAGTGAATAGCCGAACTGCGTTCGGCTCACTTCGCTTCAGGTTGGTCATTCACTCGGCTGCCTACGGCAGCTTAGTGAATAGACCCCTAATTTTAGAGAATTACTTTAAATTAGTAAACTACTCTTTGCATATTCACTTAAAAGTTTACTCGTTGTTTATTTAAGTCCTGTAGAAAAGTTATAATATTAATTACTTAAAACACGATTCATATACCTTAAAGTAATGTTGAACTCTCATGCTTTTTTTGAATGATGATTCCAAATCAAACAAATATTCATTGCCCAGCAAAGGATTAATTTAATTTTTTGCCTGAGCACTTACAGTCATCATATTACAGAACAGCTCCAACTCTATCAGCTCAGCTTCCCTGAGGTTCCTCTTGAGTACCCGTCTAAGGGTAGGGGAGAGGCGGGGGGAGGAGGATTGGGGAGCAGGGAGCATGGGAATGGCAGCCCTGCTGTGCCTGTGTATTTGTGGAGACATGCACAGCTTACTAGCACATGCAAGGGTGCCTCCATAGGACTCTGCAATTGAGAGGAGACACCCTAAAGCAGGATATCAAGGCCAGTGCTCAGAGGAGCAGCTAATTCTGTAGGAAGTTAAAACTTTTAAACATCAAGTAATTTAATCAACATTTGAAATAGCGTAATAACTTTTGACTTAAATATCACTTTAAGCCCTTGATTAACATAAATTCTTTAAGTTATTTATATTTTTGTACATTTATTTAAGCATGGCTTTTGCATAGTACTAACTCACAGCATTTCAAATGACATAGTTATATTAGTTACCCCTTATTTCTTAGTTTTACAACAAGCCTCTGTCATTGCAACGTTGAGGGGGAATTAAATATTAGCATGAATGTGTTGCTGTTAGGAAAAGGCTTGCTTTGTCTCTTTATTGCTTTTGCTTCCACATAGAAAAAAAAAAAGTATTTATTCTCTTACTAAAAGGAACGTTTTCTCCCTCTAGCTCATTGCTTTTGTTTGATCTACAAGAAGGGTGACAGGCTAAAATCTGGTTTAGTTTAAGAGGTGATTTAATCACAGCTCAGAATTAGTCTACTTTAAGACCTTGGGACCTTACTTCACAGATATTACAGTCTCCGGACTACAAAGAAATAGGCTTGAAAACAGAATTCATTCCTGAAGCACACCATTTTCCAATAAATAGATTAAAGGGATTGTATAGTGTTTAATATATTTCTTTATTATGTTCAGGAATAAAAAAAATATATATTTTTTGTATTCCATTTTTTTGTCGGGTAAATGTGAAATATTGCATATAAATATCTATTATTTGCAGCAGGTGGCACACTTGAAGCTACTCTGCAGCTCTCCAGCAAGCTGACTTAGGCTGGTTCACACATGAGCGTTTGTACCGCGATTTGCGGTCCACGAAACGCGCGTCAAACGCGCGTTTACCAAACCTATCAGGCTGTATCATAATAGATACGCGCTGAAATACGCACCAAAGAAGCTCCTGTACTATTTCGGACGTAGGGCGTTTTACAGCGCATAACAATGTGCTGAAATACACCCAGGTGGGATCCATGCCCATAGCACATAATGGGATTTGACTGTTTGAGCGTTTTACAGCACTTAGTTCAACGCTGTAAAACGCCCAGGTGTGAACCCAGCCTTACCGCTTTGCTGTGAGTAGCCTATGTTGTGAATAGATCTGAACAGCAGAAGATTGAATTACACATGCACAGTTTAATGTAATAGAGGACGGACACCCCTCTCCCTCCTAAGAGATATAGACAAAGTTGGGTTGAGCAGGCAGTACAGCGACTGCTTACTAAAAATCCCTAAAACCTCTGCAAGCAAATTCTCACTGAAACACCTTCCTTTAAATAATTGTTTTTTTAAAAATAAAATTATAATGGTACAACTGACTATTTTTATAAAACATGAAAACATTTGTAAAGTAAAAATTACCAAAAATTGTTATAGTTTCCTTTAAGGAAGAATTAGGGTTATTTGCTTATTTTTATACAAAAATGTATTTTATTTCAAAAGTTATTTTTTGAATATCATCTTTATATTATTGTTTTATACCAAGAAAGCAAAAATAAGTAAAACGTGTTTGAATAATAAAGATCAAATCACAGACCTTGAGGACTAAACATACAAACTTCACATATATTAGTGAACAAGGTAAGACTCTGTTCACTTTGTTTATCCAAAAATATGCAAAGAAAAAAAACAAGATTTTTACATGCAGATGATTGTATGATTAAAGTTAACAGAGATTTATCTTATTTACTGAATTTAGTAAATTAGTAAATATTCATAAACAAGGGAACGTTCAATTTCTATGTTAACAGGCTGAACTCCATTTGTAAACCAAGCCTAGTACAGTAAGTGAAGTTCAAAAAACTACTGCTGTGGATAATTATATGACATGGCTGCATTCAGGGTATATGTTATTGACTGGCTCATCAAAAACAAGTTACTTATCGAATCAATGAACGGTTGCTTGCTCAAGGGCTTTGTTGTTGGTGAAAGATAACTTTTAATCTGACCGCTATATTTTGCAACTTTTGTCAAAGCCATCAAATGGAAAATGCACATAAAATATACTTTACAGTAACTGTGACTATGACAGCAGTGCAGCCTCCTATAGGAGATCAAATCTAAATATATATAGTTTCTAATAGCCAATCTATTTAGATTTCTAAATTTAATATATCTTTATTGGTGTATGACTTACCAAATCACTACTTTATCTACTAAGCTCAGTGAACATTTACTTTTCAAAATTAATTTACACTTCATTTTGAAGTCTCTACACCTTTAGCAAATCAACCCCATTGGCTCACTTTCTGAAACTGGGAGGGAAAATTATATGCAATTTAGCTGACCTGCTTGTCTAGCTAAACAACCATGAATGTTTACTGCCTGTGCCTTCTTTTTTGAGATAATTGATATTAGTAGTGATAATATATGGTACGGAAGAAAGCTAAAGATATATACTCAATAAAATATGTAAAAATATGTAATGACTGTATTCATGCATACTTCACATGTCGATAAATCAGGTTACAATGACAAAGTAATAGAAATATTTTTCTGCTAGTTTTTTTTTACTAAACACATTTTGCAATTTTAAATAATAATAGATGTAACTATAGGGGACTAAAACAAACTACAAGTCAAAATGTGACAGAAAAAAAAATGTCATACAATGCAATTTTGTTGATTTAGTTGTTAAAAATGTTAACAATTTTACCAGTTAAACAGGTTTTATATTTAATAGATATCAGCAGCTTAAGCTGTTAAACGTTATCCTGGAGAATATTAGCAAAGTGAAAGCAAATTTATGTGGTGAGAATAAAGTGCCATTCTTTTGCTAAAGTTTGAGTCTGACCCTATAAAATGTTAAATCAGGAAGGCAAAACAATTTCAACCCTGTAAATAATTGTAAGTATTTCATTAAATATATGTGGCCACTTGATTGCATAAATTAAATTGGTGATAAAATGTGGAAATTGTTGGAAGTCATCTTGTATAAATTATCACCCAGGCTATACTTCTCCAGGAGGTACCTTTTTATCTCCTATTTAACTAGAAGTAAAAAGTCTGCGTTACTGCTGAAAATAAAGGCATTTTTTCCCCCCAGGTTTGGCTAATAAACACTTTATAGCCATCACCTGTACAATATCTGTAATTTAAAAAAACATGGCATAATACTGTTTGATGGGTATAAGCAAGTTCTCAAAGCAGCATTAAATAAAAACAAATCACTTACAGTAAAATAGTTGAAAAAGTTTATAAGTAGAAAAAAAACGTTTTTTGAGAAGCTTACTTTTTTTTTTTTTACATTTTTTGCTGGTTTTCTCATCTATCTGTAAAATCTAGAGGAAGGCAATATATTTAATGTCTGACATAGTTTGAAGAATGTACTTTTTAGAGTCAACCAAAGTTTACCTACTTTTAAGGTGCTAATCCTTTACATTTCGTATTTGGTCAAAAAATATTAATAATTGGAAATTTGATTTTTTTGTAGGATGGGTTTAGAAGCCCTTGTGGAATCATATGCATTTTGGAGACCATCTTTAAGGACTCTAACATTTGAGGATATACCTGGCATCCCAAAACAGGGTAAACATCTTTATACTTTGTTATACATACTGCATTTCTAAAAATAGCAGAATTATTATGATTGCAGCATAAATAATGATGACATTATGGTTGGTTTTAGAATTTATGTTTCTTGATAAGTCTTTTGATTTTTATAAAATGTTAGTTGTTGCTGCCTTTGGAGGTAAGGTACAGTTTATATGCACCAAAAAGTATAAAGTAGAAGGCTTTAGATGAAAAAAAACTATATTGTTTTGTATTTATTGTGGCATCTACATGATATAACTAATGCCTCGTCTTTTGAGTGTAGTTACACAAAGAGATAACCAAGAAAACTTCACCTTTATTATTCTTATTCAAAATAATGGTCTGTGCGAAATAGAAATTTTCTAAAATGAAATCAATACTATTTAAAGAAATAAAGCTTTTTAGCTGTGTTTTGAAAGAGATAGAATTTGCAGATATGTTTCTTGTTATATTAAATAAGGCTTTACTTTAACTTTAAGTTATATTCAAAATGCTAATAATTAAATTCATGTATTAACTTTGATTCATTATTATTTCAATTTATAATTATGTTTTGCATATTAAATATAGCTGTCAATATTACAGTATTAATAACTATCAATAATATAGTAAATATAGATATTAAAATTGCTTATGCTAAGCCACTATATAGAGAACAGCCATACATTCATGTGGTCAAATCTTTGTGGATCCTTCAAGATCCATACCTTGTGGACTATAAACGTCTGTGATGATCCCTTTAACAGCGAACAGAACTGTGCATTAAATGCTTAAAGCAAATCTGTCACATAGGAGAATTCCAGGGTTGTGGAGAATACTAAATTATGTTTGAAATTTAAGCCACAATTACAGTGGGTACTTATTACCTTTATTAACTCAAACAAAAATGGAAAGGTTAGGCTCCTCTGATAAAATAGCTACTGATAACCTTTCTTAAACATTTGAACAAAAATTTGGTATAGTTAACCATTTTTAGACACTTATTATTTGGTTTCACTTTAAGCAAAAAAATAACATTTTAAAGCTTCCAATTTCCTCATTGGCCAGCCATTGGTTTTGCATCCACACAGCTGGCAGCCATGCCAGTTTCTTACCCTTTAGGACTTGCACCTGTGCCATGTTGTGGCCTTAATAAGCCATTCTTTATATGCGTTTTTAGGGGTGTGTGTCATCAGGAGGCCAGTATAATTCTGCACTGTATCAACACTTTTAAAAAAAGTTTCTTCTCGTAGCTTTGATACTTGTCTTGTGAATGCTGATTGTTTGTGTTCAATTTCTGTTGTCATCTGTCTGGGTTTTATATCACTTCTCTGAATATCACCTGCAATGACTGCAATGCCTTCTCCCAGTTTACAGGCAACGCTCTAGCCTTGGTACCTTGCATATATAGGTGTTATGTAGTAAAATCCATAATTTTCCTCAAGGTTCCTGGTGGACACCAACACTCTTTAGACCTTGCTTAATGGAGGAGCCAGTACCTGCTCTTAGTGTAACAGCAGGTCTACACAAATTCATAATTCTCTGCTTAGTCAATAGCTCTTATCATACCCTTGCTTAATACTTTGCAACAGTTTTGAGCAAGCTAAGAATGATCATATCCTCCAAACACACCTGGGCCTGTCCATTTTCATCAGCTACAAATCTCCTTGTAACAGCTCTACTGTCAAGTCTGGTAGATCCTATTCATTGTGGATTGTTTTTATACCAATATCAATGCAATTTAGGTTCTGACTGAGCTAGATGGTTTTTATGAATGTATATTTTATGAATTTTATGAATACAATATTATGGGGTCTATTCTCTAAGCTGCCGAAGGATCTAGGCGTAGCTTCGGCTGATCCTTCGGCTAGCTTCGGCCCCAGGACACCTTCAGTTCACTTTAGCCAGCTTCGGCTTTCACCTCGGCTCATTTGAATAGTGAATATTTGAATAGTGAATAGTGAATAGCCCGTACAGATTCCGAAGTTGGCCAAGCGGCTCAGTCGAGCCGAAGGCATATGCCTCGGCTCAAATGAGCCGAGGTGAAAGCCGAAGCTGGCCAAACCGTCATCTCACGGCTGGCTTCGGCCACTTGCAGAGACAGATCAGCGTCCCTGGTTACCTGGTAACAAGGGCTGCCGTTCTGTCATTACACTAAGAACCCAGCGGAGTAAGATGACGGCTGGCTCCGGCCACTTGTCGAGAGATCAGCGTCCCTGGTTATCAGATAACCAGACGCCATCTGTCATTACACACTGGGAACCTGGCAGGGCCGCTATGATATCACAACGGCCTCTCCGGGTTCTCAGTGTGTAATGACAGATGGCATCCCTGGTTACCTGGTAACCAGGGACGCCATCTATCATTACTCTCCCAGACGTTCTGGGAGTCTAACGCGGCTCCCGGGCCGCCCAGGAGAGAAACACTTTCTTGCGCAAAGGTTTACTCTGCTTGATCAAGCAGAGTAAACCTTCCCTTGCGATCTGTTTTCTTTTTTTTTTCTGACATGGGGCCGCTGGCTGCCCTCAGTCAGAAAAAAAAAAGCCAGCATAGGAATGCATAGCTAGATTCCTATTGGCTATTTCACTTTGCAATAGCCAATAGCAAACTAGCTATTGCACCCGCCCACTGCTGCTGTCAATCAGCAGAGGAGGACCTGCAGTTCTCCATTAGAACCGCCCGGCCAATAGAAAACAGTTGGGCGGAGCTAGCTGTCACTGTTAGCTCCGCCCAATCATTTTCTATTTTATTTTTTCTACTTTTTTAACTGTTTTTCTATGCCGCTGGTTACCACAAAGGTATTCGGCTATTCACTCACTGCTGTTCGTCATCTATGAGAATGTTGGATTGGCTGAGTCGAACTCCTTCTGCACTTGCTGCGCATGTTCGGCCGACCCAGAGCCACACAAAGCAAGCCGATGTACGGCTGATTTCAGCCGATATACGGCTAAAATCAGCCGTACAAACATGAAGTGAATAGCCGAACAGCGTTCGGCTCACTTCACTTCGAGTCGTTTATTCACTTGGCTGCCTACGGCAGCTTAGTGAATAGACCCGTATGTGTGTCTAGTGCCGTACAAAGGGATACAGATGGTCTACACAAATCAGTGAATCTCATTTTTTCATGAAGGGGTCTGCAAATAAAATCAATACAGCTGGTCCAGACTTATTTTAATATCAGTCAAATCATGGTAGTACATTAAAGGAAAGCTACAGTGGCCTTGGGTCAATTAGATTTTTGTTAACTTTATACATTTTAAACTGTAATTTTTCATCTTTGTATACTTTTTTTTATATTTTAAAAAATATATAATACATGTATTTAACACATAAACATTTAATACACAGTGCACCTGTGACACCAATATCACAAAGCATTATGGGTTTTCTAAAAAAAGGACAGCAGAAGTTATTTGCATTCAGACTCTCTCTTTAATTGACTCTTCATATGGCCCTGTATAAGCAGAGCAGGCAGGGAAGGGGTGGGACGAGGATGATTCACTGGCCTAACACATTCAATCCTGTGTAAATTTTAGCTTGAACTGTTAAGCTTGTTAAACTTTAAGGCTATTTAAAAAGGAGCTTAGTAAATGTGGGAAGAGACTAGATAACTTCCCAGTGCCCAAAAAATAATTTGAGATATTTCTTAGATATCAATTTAAAATATACGTCATTTTTTTGCTTGAACATAATAAATACAGAAATAAAATATGTATAAAAGACTATGCATTCCCTTTAATGATCAACACTTGGAGGTAACTTGGAGACAGATGGACTTCATTTGAAGATTTTTTATGATTCATTCGTAAGAAATAGTACATTCTGTAATGAATTACCTGTATGAAAAATATTTTGCTACGATTGCAGAACTTTAATACTTAACACATTGTCCTATTAACTAAAAAGTTTACATGAAGTCCTTACTTTCACTTAAACTGGATGATTACTAAAATAAGTTAATATATGCAAGTTTAAGCATACAAAGAAACCTACTGTTATATAAACATGCACTTACTCAGAATATATTTTAATATACTAGATATCTGAATAGGACGTATGCAGAGAAGTGTAGCTTAAAGTAGAAATACACTAATATAGTAAAAGATAATTGTAAAATTGTATTAAAAAAGCCCTCAGTAATCATAAAGTTAACCAAGTAGCTGCCTTGTAAAAAGTAAATAAACACTGTGTTAGGTTGCTAACAGTTTTGCTGCCTTGTTAGAATTGTGTGTCTTTAACATCGCTCCTCCTATTAGGAATCCCCTGCTGTATCTTTGAGTGGGTGTCCCTGGCTCAGGCTAGCATACAAAGAATGAAGACCAATCTAGGGCAGATTCCACACATGTATGCGGACTTGTGGACACAGCCAGGCACTCTTTATTTACCTTTCCTAAGGAAAATGCTGCTCCAGGCTCCTTTCAGTGCTGTACAGTTGGTCAAAATGTCTGATTAGGGGAAAGATCAATCAATCAAAATTCCTATCCTTCCTTTTAGCAAAACTTATGTTTCTAGACTTTCATAAATCAAACTACTACTGAAGGGAACATTGTTCCTATCAGAGGTAACTATTTATGCCTACTATTGCTTTCAATGCATCTACCCTGGCAAAACTGTTGAGATTATATATAGCATATATGGAATTAATATGTATAAATAAAAACAATTCATTTTTTTTTATAGGCCATGCAGGCACTTCCTCTTTCCTCTCTGGATCTGGAGCTGCAGCCACTCATCCACATCTATTACCAGGTTCTCCATGCTCTTCTCCTGCTTTCCACCTTGGAGCAAACACAAGTCAGCTTTGCAGTCTGAGTCCTGGAGATTATTCCGCCTGTGGTCGTTCTGGCCTTGCACTTAATAGATACAGCACATCACTTGCTGAAACCTATAACAGACTCACCAACTCGGCTGGCGAAACCTTTGCAACCCAAAGAACCCCTTCTTATGTTGGAATGGCGAGCAGCACCACAGTAAATATGTCAATGCCCGGAGCTGACAGTGACAACTTTGGATGTCCTCAAACAAGCCTATCCATGCAAATTTCAGGAATGTCTCCTCAGCTCCAATATATCATGCCTTCACCAACAAGCAATGCATTCAGCAGCCAGCCACACCAGAGTTCTTACAATGCCTTTCGACTGCACAGCCCATGTGCACTGTATGGATATAACTTCTCCACTTCTCCCAAACTAGCTTCTAGTCCTGAAAAAATTGTCTCATCTCAGGGAAGTTTTTTAGGCTCATCTCCAAGTGGAACCATGACTGACCGACAACTTCTGCCTTCAGTAGATGGTGTTCACCTCCTTAGTGGTGCTGGACAGCAAAACTTCTTTGACTCCAGAAGTTTAGGAAGTCTAACATTATCAACATCTCAAGTATCTGCACATATGGTTTGACCATGTACTCTGTATCTAAAAGAGTTCCTTTTCGGGACTGAATTTTTATTCAACTTTAATATTGTTTGTAAATAGTGTACCTTTTCAGATCTGAACCCTAAATCATTTTGAATTTTGTTTGTAGATATGTATATATCTATATATACAGTATATATATATATACATTACAAAAAGACAAATGCACTATCTCGCTATTAACTATTTTTCTTTTTTTTGTATGTTTTGTACTTCCTGTATTTTGCCTATGCACAGAATAAATAGCCTACCAAGCACAACCACTTAGACAAAGTCTACTAAGTCTCCCATTAATTATACATTTACACTTGTCTACTCTATTATTTATTATAAACATAATTCAATGCTGAAAATAGGACTCGTTTACTAATGATTAATCAATGATTGTAGAACTACTAGGGATACTTAAATATTTGTAAGAAAATTCTCCTGTAATCCTGCTGGTTAGAGTTGGACTGATAACCTTAAGGGGTCTATTCACTAAGTTGCCGAAGGATCTAGCCGTAGCTTCGACCGATCCTTCGGCTAGCTTCGGCCCCAGGACCCCTACGGTTCAGTAGAACCGAAGGGGTGCTGTACGGGCTATTCACTATAGCACTACAGCTCCCGAATGTGGCCAAGCGGCTCAGTCGAGCCGAACGCATATGCATCGGCTCGGCTGAGCCACACTGAAAGACGAAGCTGGCCGAGCGGCCGGCCATGGGTCGGCCGACAGCCTTCTTCTGACAGCTGGGCGGAGCCAGCCGTGATCTTACGGCTGGCTCCGGCCACTTGCAGAGAGATCAGCGTCCCTGGTTACCTGCTAACCAGGGACACTGATCTCCAAACAGCAAACTCTCCCTGGCGCTCCGGGAGTCTCCTGCTCCCGGCCGCCAAGGAGAGAAACACTGCTGTTTCTTTTTTTTCTTTATTTTGCAGTTCTCCATCAGGTCCATAAGCAAAGGGCGGGTACAATGCTAGTTTACTATTGGCTATTGCAAATTGAAATAGCCAATAGGAATCTAGCAATGCATTCCAATGGGCAAAAACGTGTTTTTTTTTCTATTCTGACACGGCTCCGTGTCAGAATAAAGAAAAAAAAAGAAAAATCAGCGTTTCTCTCCTTGGCGGCCGAGAGCGGAAGGCTCCCAGAGCGTCCGGGAGATTTTTCTTTTTTTTTTTATGGGTCGGCCGACAGCCTTCTTCTGACAGCTGGGCGGAGCCAGCCGTGATCTTACGGCTGGCTCCGGCCACTTGCAGAGAGATCAGCGTCCCTGGTTACCTGCTAACCAGGGACACTGATCTCCAAACAGCAAACTCTCCCTGGCGCTCCGGGAGTCTCCTGCTCCCGGCCGCCAAGGAGAGAAACACTGCTGTTTCTTTTTTTTCTTTATTTTGCAGTTCTCCATCAGGTCCATAAGCAAAGGGCGGGTACAATGCTAGTTTACTATTGGCTATTGCAAATTGAAATAGCCAATAGGAATCTAGCAATGCATTCCAATGGGCAAAAACGTGTTTTTTTTTCTATTCTGACACGGCTCCGTGTCAGAATAAAGAAAAAAAAAGAAAAATCAGCGTTTCTCTCCTTGGCGGCCGAGAGCGGAAGGCTCCCAGAGCGTCCGGGAGATTTTTCTTTTTTTTTTTTTGACGGCAGCAGAGCTGCCGGACAATAGAAAACTATTGGGCGGAGCTAGCTGTCACTGCTAGCTCCGCACAATCGTTTTCTATTTACCTTTTTAACTATTTTTCTGTTCTGCTCAGTCCCTCTATACTCTGGCTATTCACTCACTGCTGTTCGGCATCTATAAGAATAGGCCGAACAGCAGTAAGTAGCCTGCCGGAGGTTCGGCTTAGCCGATCCAGATGTTGGATCAGCTGAGTCGAACTCCTTCTGCACTTCGGGTCAGCCGAACATGTCGGGTCGGTTGTTCACTCGGCTGCCCTCGGCAACATAGTGAATAGACTCGTAAGTGAAGCTGAGAGGGTAGGAATATGGGGGCTGGAATAAAAGAGATGTTTTGCTGATTCGTTTTGTAAATGTGCAAGTTTTGGGGCTGTCATATTAATCCTGACTCAATTACATAGTGGCTATTGACCTGGAACTAATGTAATCAGTACAGTCTGGAAAGAAAAACCTGAAATAACACAAAATTGTAATGTGCTTAAGAACCAAAATGTATTGTTAATACTGTAATACCTTGGTTTACAAGTAACTTGGTTTGAGAGTGTTTTGCAAGACAAGCAAACATTTCTGAAAATCTTTGCCTTGATATACAAGCAATGTCTTGCAATAAGAGCAAAATTCTGTAGAAAAGCACCACCCGAATAAGGCTGTAGCAGTGTGAGCGATGAGTCTGTTTAACGACAATGCAATGTCACATTGGATAGATTCCTTGTTAAGGTTTCACGAAATGAAAAAGATTCCATTGAGCCAAGAGATAGCAGTGATTCTATTAGTGATAGTGAAAGTCGTCCTACACAATAATCCTCCTCTATCTTGTCCCCCTCACACCAGCCACGAAGGTACTGGTAATCGGTTTATTTTTCTTTATTTTTCGTATAGTATTATATTACAGTACAGTATTGTAATCATTTTTATATGAATATTTTTGGGTTGTGGAACGAATCATCTGAATTTCTATTATTTCCTATGGGGAAATTCGCTTTGATATACAAGCGCTTTGGATTACAAGCATGCTTCCGGAACGAATTATGCTCGTAAACCAAGGTATTACTGTATTAAAAATTAAATACATATTTATATTAAAATCCCTATAATAAAAATCAACACCTAAACCTAAAATCTTATATACACTTTAACATGCTAATGTAATTTCATAACTCATTCCAATTAGTTTTTAAATTTGCAGTTTTTAATAAAATAATACCTGGTGATTCTGCCATAAAGGTCCTTGTTCAGATACTTCCTGTTATAGGGTGACTGACAACCGTCTGTCCCTGTCTGCCAGTGTGCCCCTACATTGTTAGCCTGTCACATAGTCTTCTAATGGAGACTATAATTGGCTGTTTCAACACAAATTGCATAGGCATGGTTCACCGTTGTCACCATCAGAAAGCCTGACATAAGAAATACCATACAGTCATTGCTAGAGTACATGTATATAGACAAAGGGCTGCAGGAGATCAGCAGCACTGAGATACAACAAAGGATGAGAAAAGATGAAAAAAAGCATTTTGTTAATGTTAATTATTTATTACAAACAGTGCTTTAGAAAGCTAAATGCAATTTGGTTAGGGTTTACACAGTGGCGTCACAAGGGGGTGACACCATTGGAGGGGTGACACCAAAATGAACAGTCGTTTTGGTGTCACCCCCCTCTGACAAGTATCAGGAGAGAGGAGGGGACCCCGTGGCATACCTTATCCCGCGGGTAACTGTCCCCTCCTCTCTGCCGGCATCCATCACCAAGATGGCCGCCGGCTGGTATCCAGAAGATCGCCGCGCATGCACTGTGACATCACGGCGGGGTGACACTCGGTCACCGCTCCGGGTGTCACCCAGCCTCGGGACGCCCCTGGGTTTACATATAGTTCTATTTATCTGATAATGCTAAAATCAGACGTAGTGAAAATATAGGGGTAAAGTCTCCTCTTCACTTATACAGGTAACATCTTCTTAATGGACAAAGACGCAAATTCAAAAGTACATGTTTGTATATACTAATATAAATAAATTACTAACTGCCACCCACTCCCACTAAAAACAATAGAACATTTCTGTACAAATGGATATACTTTATAATCCTACAAAAATAATAGGTAACTCATACTAACCCAATACAGCCATTGATTCACTTCAGTGCACGATTGTAAATCAGTTATCTAGACAAATATCAAAAACAACAAATGGATGCCTTTAAGATAATATTACAAACGTGCTAGGTAATAAAACATTCTTATGTGCTAAGTGCTTCATGGACTCCACAAATAAATCACAATGTTAGATGATCACATGATTCTAACTATAAACGTGATAGAAGAAAAACTAGACAAACAGCCAAATATACCATTTATGGTCCATTCACATTTACATTTCTGTGGTTCCCTGCAGTAAACATCACCAGCTCACAGCAGTGAATCTGCAGCTTAGGTCAAATATCCATCTAAGTCAAATAGTGTGGGTCATATCACTGCCTAAAAATGTTTTTAGAATATTATCCCTTCTGCATTTTGATGCATTTTTCCACACATAACTTATCCAAAGTAATAAACGGAACCTCATTATAATGTGCTTATAGTGGGTTTAGTGTATTTTACTATGCAGGAATACACATGTAATGTCAGTAAAATAAGAGAAGACATGGCAAAGAAAAAAAATATACAGACAAGGGTAAACAAATGAGCTTAAAATGTACATACATGAACTAATACATGCTAAAATGCATAAATGTGCATGCATGTTTATTATTTTATCTGGCAAAGGATTTGGCTGATTTATATTCTACTGCTACACTGCACTGCCAGGCAAGTGAAACACTTCTATATATATATA